TTTTGATCCACTGCTTTATCCCCAGCTCACTGAGAACTCATGAAATGTCTTGAGCAAAGACCTGAGTTATATCCGTGTTCAAACGCAAAATCCTGCCGAGCAATGACGCAGGTGTTATAAAGATCGGCGTTGTATCCTGGTACAGCCTTCTGCGAACGTCCGCTCGATCGATGTCTCGCGAGATTTTCAATAAACCCTGGGCAGCCGGCCGCGGCGCGGGAGCCAGCGATTACACGTTGTTCCAGCACGTTACACCTCACAGCCAGATGTGGCCTGGAAACGAGTGGCGTGGTATTCCCACCTCCTGGTCCCACGACCTCTCTCTTTTAGTTCGTGAAATATGACGCATGACATATATGAAATGGAGATATGGAAGTGAGATAAACAAACTTGCACGATTTCGTGGGACACCAGGTGGCCTCATCACAATGAAATATTCCATACAGATTGCCTTTTCCGACGGCCATGGCCTGATTTAGACCCACCATAGTTCAGCGACCTTAAAAGGTGTACTTAATTTTTACACCAAAACATCAGTTATTTAATTGCCCACAGCTATACAAGGCTTGTCGCCAATGCGCCGTCAGTTTAGCTCTTTTAGAAAGCAGCCTGGGTCAAATTGTCCCCCATCCGAGCGCGTGTTAATGCTGCCTCCGACCAGCCTTTCGGTCCCGTTGGTCACCACATTAGACCCCTGATCATTGCCCTCGGGCATGCGCCCCTGATGCTCAGCCACGCAACTCGTCCTAGGCTGTCAATGGATTTGAAGCATTCGTTCACCATCGCTTTTTCACCGACTAGCCGTAGAGCAGTGTCTAACTTGCCTTGCCGTTGCAGAATGAACGACAGTTACAAATGTCTTATTTAAGAGACCCTTTATTGAATTATTTCACGGATGGACGCGTCAGCCGATGGCATCAGCGTGCATGGCTTGATCACGGTCCACTTCGGTCGATGCAGATCCCTGGTATTTTCTAGGACATCGGCCTCAAAAAGCACGTTGTTCAGGGCGTTTAAACGTCCAGCACGTCCTTAGAGTCGAATATGAAGTGAAGTCACGCACAGTTGCGGCCTTAATGTGGTGCACCGATTCGATTCAGACACCGAAATCAGATTCCTTAAAACATCCTACCATTGGGCTCATCCCTCATTTTTGAAACTGTGGCTTTTGTGATTTATATTTAGTGGGAAACTTGAACGTTTGCTGTCTCACTTGATACTGTCTTTTCACGACTTTAATACGATGTCTTTGCATATTTGCATAACTGAATGCGATAAAAACACTAATGTGTGAGTCATACTATCGTAATATGTGCTAGGAAAGCCATTTTCAACAATATCGCATTCTGATCCACTGATTCGAAGTCAAAATATTTGTTTCGGACCGCTGTGATCGCAGTGATATTGCACCAACTGAAGGAGACTTTCATGACTCTCATTGATCCAAATCCTGATTCTCATCATAATCATCAATGGATCTATAAATATAGACTACGACTTGAGGCCGTGGGATCTTTCCTACGGAGCTCCCCAGACTCAAACTCAGACCCAGACATGTGTCGGGGAAATGTTCGATATTCTCGTGGCCGTAACAGTCTCGCGTTCAGAAGGTAACCTAGAGGTTTCCACCGGGTCTTTGCCTAGTCAAGACCATAAGCTTCACCACGCAACTCAAGATTCGGAAGGCAACACGGTGTCGGAACAGGTCTTTGGCTTCTCTTGTCCTGTGATCGGATCACCGCGGTTTGCAGAGAGTTAAGGGAGGCTAGGTAAAGTTGTCAGATGGTTAAGGAAAGTTAAGGAAGGCTAGATAAAGTTCTCAGAAAGTTAGGAAAATTAAGGTTAAGGCAGCAACAGTCCGGAAGATTGTTGTGTGTGTGCTACCTCGTCATGTTATTATGCTTATAATGGGTTAGGCCGACGATTTTTGACCGTAACGCTCGCCTGAGTGACCGGTTGGACCGTTCGCTCGGGGGGGGGGGGGGCGAGTCAGTTCGACCCCTAAACTATGTCAGAGATGTATAGCTTCGCCTCACACCGCGCTGGCGCGTCAGATTGAAAGATTCCCCTAGACATTGTCCACGCTCACAGCCACAGTCTCACGTTGATCTGTCACAGGCAGCAGCCTGACAAAATATATGAACCTTGTCGAAAACAAAAATATTTGGTTTTCCTGCTATGCAATCCGGCATTCGGTTTCCTAAATATATGCAAAGGTTGGCGTGACTGCGCTGCACCGTTCGGAAACCATGTTGCAAAAATTTTCTGGACGGTCAAATTGACTTTCCATCCGTGCGTGTGATTAAGTGGATCAATGTCTGCACGTGCAGTTCTTTATCGCTTCTGAGTATCGTGCTTGGCATTTTTAGGTCTCCAGCGTTCCTTGCAATTATATGTGTGATAGCCCTCAAACATGTCCCATTCCTTCAAGAGGCAGGCCGTGGTACAGTGTGCTTGTTTGGCCCATCCTGTCATCTGTTTATGGAGCCTCGTGGATGTATCATGACGCATGTGTATGAAGTGCTGATGTAGATATGATGTATAAATACTGATAACTAAGATGTCTGAACCTTATTTAAGATAAGTCACCAAGGACAAACCAGAAGAGGGCAAGAACATTAAGAGGTTAGCAAGCATGTCTAACACAAAATATATGACATCGCAAATAAACATAACATAATTGAGGGAAGCATGGGATATAAAGGCCAGGAGGCTACAGCTTTAATTTAGGTCATAGAGCACGTATCCAGACATATGTGAAACCAAGCCTTCTGTTCTAGGTAAGATTACGATGGCAGGAGGTTGTTGCTGTGATGACAGTGGCACAACACCTGTTTTCATATATGCTCCGGATTGTTCGGTGACTGGGTTTTGCATGTTACGCCCATAGACCCGTTTATGTACTCAAATATAAAAACCTGCACATCAGCCGGAAGGGACATGACGTAGGTGACTGTCTTGGCCATAACGCTGGCGTCCATGCCGCCGGCCATGGCGGCTTCACCGCGGGCCATGTCGCTGAACATGCGGCCGACGATCTCGGTCTTGACGAGGCCGGGCGACAGCTGCTAGAAATGGGAGCACGCACCGCCGCGTGACTGCGCTGAACCAACGATATCGGTCTTGACGAGGCCGGGCGACAGCTGCTAGAAATGGGAGCACGCACCGCCGCGTGACTGCGCTGAACCAACGATATCGGTCTTGACGAGGCCGGGCGACAGCTGCTAGAAATGGGAGCACGCACCGCCGCGTTACTGCGCTGAACCAACGATATCGGTCTTGACGAGGCCGGGCGACAGCTGCTAGAAATGGGAGCACGCACCGCCGCGTGACTGCGCTGAACCAACGATATCGGTCTTGACGAGGCCGGGCGACAGCTGCTAGAAATGGGAGCACGCACCGCCGCGTGACTGCGCTGAACCAACGATATCGGTCTTGACGAGGCCGGGCGACAGCTGCTAGAAATGGGAGCACGCACCGCCGCGTTACTGCGCTGAAATCGTTGCGATGCTGCAAATGCGATGCAAGGAATCAGGACCACGGAGGAATGCAATGACATGTAAAGAGTGATAAAACAAAGGAGGTAATATATGAGAGCTTGACCTAGCTTGCCTTTAGACGACCTGAACTTGGAAAAACTTTCATGTGGAAGGCGATGTCCTGCCAAGAATAATCATTGTTTGTCGCTTGTAGACAAAATGTCACCGACATGATCTCAAGAAAGAGGTCATAGATCTATTTCGTGAGCTTTTGAGTGTCAAGCTGAAGTAAGCTAAGTAAGTTAATTGAAGTTGTTAAGGTAAATCATTTTTTGTAAGATGTGTAAGGTGGATGTGAGCTCAGATGCTCAATATCAGTACCGTACCAAAGCCGTTCAGCAGTCATCCCGGAAACCTCCGGGGTTGTGGTTCCCTCATATAGCGTGGGTTTAGTGAAGAAAGGCACACATAAAGAAGGAAGACAACATTTTGAGAGTCCTGAAAAAGAGTCGTGCCAGGGAAACTTGGGTCGCCTTAAAAAATTACTAACAAGTAACCCAGAAATAAATACAACGTAACTTTACATTCGGTGTAACCTTACAGGGCTTGGAGTTCTGACACGAGGCGCGCCTTGTGACACAAACATGCTGTCAGACTCTGCGACAGGGGCGTGTATTTGTGGCCATCTGTCCCTTCTTCGGAGGATGCCGAGTTATCCATACACTAATTCAGTGGCGTGAAAGGAAACAAAAGCCTCATCCTTTGCATTTACCAGACGTTCAGTCGCCAGCTCTGGAATTCATCAGGACTCCACAGTGGAGTCCTGATGAATTGGGTCAGACAGACTCCCCAGTGGAGTCTGGCCAGCGACTGGTCAGAAGCCGTCTGACGAGGCAAACTGTAATGTGTTGTATGCATACGGCCGCCTCCCGCTGGGTAGATGTGAGGTGATGCCTGGGATCCCAACATTTGCGGACGCCATAAATGAGATCAGCAAAGGATGGGCAGCATCGTCCTGCGGTCCGATCTTTCCCCACACTGGCAGTGCGCTTTGGGAACGTGTTCGAATTACTTAAAGTGGAGCCGGTGCCTCGAAGATTTCATTAGTCTTATGGACCGAATGCTTGTTCCGACTATCGACGTTGTCTGGGGTACTAATATTTACACGACGTTTTGATCAGTTAGCTATCTGGCCGTTGTCATGTGGCATGAAGCTCTGTTAAGGTTTTATGAGCACTGACTTTCATCCAAGTATGCCCCGAAGTCATATTCTCTCCTTGCAATTGCTGTGATTCGAATAAGTGTGTGTGAGTCCAATGTTCCACCACCCGAGCTAACCGAGAGGGACAGTCGTCCGCATTGTTCCATTTGTGATACTCATACTTCGCCTTGATCCATCCGTAAAGCTAGTACTCTTGTCTTGTGTTCGAGTTTATGTTGAGCATAATGTGGGGATAAAATTAGGTGGCATCTTGCATTAGACAATGTCATCAATTCATCCTACTTTCTGGCTGCGGACGGGACCCTTAGCACGGATACGAATGGCGAACTATTGTGATTACTCGATGCGGCGTACCTCACTGGTCCAAGCCTCAAAGTCAAGTCTGTGCGTGGGAGGCCTTAAGGGTCTTGTAACTTTCCTAATACATTCCCAAAGCGGCGGTGGCGCCGGAACCTCTTTAGAGTTGAGTAGAGCTAAAGCCGTGTTTCGATTCCGGTTCCAAGGTTGAAGATCGCTTCCGTCACAATATCGCGACTTACCGAAACCATGATTTTAGCCGGTCCATCGGCTGCCAGCTCCTGGCGGAGACTCTCAGTCAGCGCCGTCACTGCGAACTCGGTCGCCGTGTAGAAGTGAATGCTTGCAAGTGGAGGCACGACGTGTCCGGCCATGCTACAGATATTGATCACCTGTCCCTCTGTGGCGTCACGATCTTTCATGCTCTTGATGGCCAGCTGAGCGCAGTGTGCCAGCGCTAAGACGTTGACGTCCAGTATAGTGCGCCACTTGTCAATGGCGCCATCGAGGAGACCGCCAGGAAAATTGAGACCGGCGTTGTTAATGCACGCGTCAACGCCGCCGAACTGTTTGACGATAGCACGGAACATGGCCTCAATCTCCTCCGACTTGGTCAGGTCACAGTGTATCGCCGTCAGGGAGCCGCGGCAGTCTTTCAGCTCAGCAGCCAGCTCCTGAAAATGTCCGATTGTAGTAATGACATCAGAAGCCGGATGGCCAAGCTCTCATTAAATGTCTCCCCTAATTTTCAAGCTCCATTATTTTGTTCAAAATTGTAACACTCAAAAATGCATTAAAAAATAGCGTGAAATTCCGCAGAGCTTCAGAACCCAGAAGTAAGGCTACCGGTGTGGCCTTTCGTTTGCTCACGACCCCTCAACTCTATGGCTGAATATAAGGTATTAATGTTGTTGCATGCTGCTGGTGTAAGCTTTTTATTGAATGCACGTTAGACTGCAACATTTTCTGGGTAATTAAGCATAGATATTTGCCAGAAAAGCATGAAATGAATCAAAAGTAGATGCCGTTACCCTTTTACGTACAGCAATTCAACTAATGCTTAGTGAACGCAGTCCCTATAACCATCACGCGTTTTCCGCTCATTAACGGCCCGTTCTAAGCATATGCAAAGCTTTTTTCAAAGTCGGGCCCACCTCGATCCGTTTGTGATTCCTGGCGCATCCAACCACCGTCATTCCGTGATGCACAAACCCTCGACAGATGGCAGCACCGATGCCGGCGCTGGCACCTGTTACCAGCGCGACTCTGCCCCTCCAGCGCTCCATGGGGGGGGGGGGGGGGTTATCTTCAACTCAGAATGCTAGACTCGTTCACCTGCTTGTGCCATATAGGATAAGGACGCTGCAAGTCGTGTGATCGTTTCACCTAGGCCAGTCTGAGTTGAGCAAGGCGTGCCAGTCATTATTCATTACAACCGAGTGGTCCGCTGTTGCACCACCTAGGTCAGTTAAATGGTGTATTGGCCACTCGCCGAATTCAAACAGCAACATTGCCTACTGATCGGGGCTTTGCCGACAAGCATAGGCGATTCCCGGAACTGGCAACTGGCATCTGAATGTCTGAAAACCGCGAAAAAAGCGCAGTCAACACCCGCTTCATATTACGGACTTCCCATGCAACGTAACAATATCACCTTGTCTATGATCGCACATGACGCAATCCAAATAAAAGATTCATTGCATTTTTGACACACATCAAACACTCCACTCTTAAAGTCCATTACATACAACAAAGAGTCTCCGTCTCTCAGCTCACTGTGCACACGCGCACGCTTTCACCTTGTTCGTGATCTGACGTACGTTGTTTACGCTCGGATCTACCCGTCGCGGAGCAGCACCTGGGAACGGGGCGCTTGCCGCGCGTCTGACCCGCGTGCCGCCCGGCAGAGTGCGTGCCGCGCGTCTGACCCGCGTGCCGCCCGGCAAAGTGGAGGGAGCGCGTTATACAACAGCGCTGGCGAACAAACTACGTCGCGATCGTGTCGCCAAGTGGAAAGACACGGCTGGCTGGGCGGAGGTCCCGTGAGAGACCATCCGATAGAGAGAGACGTCCGCGAACACGCTCATAGTCAGATACACGAAGCCGCAGTAAGATAACACGTGACTTCTGGTGAACTGTTGAGAGCAGCGAGGGCAGCGAGAGAAGAAGTTTCATCGTTCGGCCTTGCAAACCACCTGAGTTAAGTATCTTACGGAAGCGCATTAGTTTTGCCTTTTCGTCGACTGCCAAATGGCGACTGCGGAATAGCGACCTGTAAAATAATCGACGGGCCAAAAAGTCGGATCGGTTGGATGGTGAGCCGCAAAATGGTGACGTGTAGACAAGCTAACGAGCCAGATTGGCAAGCGGTTCAATGGCGAAGCGCAAAACTGGCGACGTACCGAACCGTCGACAGGCCGAAATGGTGAAAAGGTCAAAGGTCATGCTTGAATTAATGGCGACATTCAGAGCGCGTCAATGTTGGACCGAATATTGAAAATTAACAAGCATTTCAATACCGGAACCAGCGCCCGAATTTCTGAAACAGTGAAACACTGAAATCGTGGAACAAGTATTCCCAAACACGTTTGATTGGCGCAACAGCCGGTACATTTCGAGTACTATTTTTATGTTTTGGATTAGAGTAGCATCCCATCTTCCTTGCCTGCTTGCATCACATGGTTTTAGTCATCTTTGGTTCACGATTCACGACGGTTTACCATGGTATGAGCAAGTAGCCAGGACAAATCGCCGAGCCACCAGCGATGCCGGACTGCGCTGCAGAACACGCTCCAGATCAGGCGCCACGCCCCACTCCCATTCCCCACGGACCCCTCACTCACCTCACGGTTGTTCGGCCAAGAAGAGCTGCACGCTCTCATCGCTTGGCGCCAAGTATCATGCAAAATCCGAAACGTCCATCGCCAAAGTTGCTTCGTTCTGGACAAACTCTTGTATTGTACGGATTCCATTACATCTTATCATTAGTGCTTACTTGTTTTATCGGATGTTATTTCGTCTGTGTAGGGCTGACTAGTGATATCTCAGTAATCGTAAGTGCCATCACGTTTAACGGCAGGACCTTGCATTGCAGATCAAAGTTTAGATCAAGACTTTGTTTGAACAAGGCATAGTTAGATGCTGCTTGCCGCAGAGCTCGTCTTTTGAATTTACGAGGAAAATGGTATACATCCCGCGTTGATATGACATCACCAGCTGTTCATTTTTCATTTTGCTGTGACGTACAGAACTGCATGTGTTACGTGGCAGTCAGTGGCGATCAAACTGGGCATCACGAAGTCATGACTAATCTGTTGAAATTAAACTGACACCTTCAGGAGCTCGATATTTTGAAGGCAATTTCGGAATGAGGGCTTTTGAAAATCAAATAGCCGAGAAACATGACAAAAGTAAGTGTGTCCCAGCGGTCTCAATGTGACTCTTTATCAGGTCAAATCCCAGGTGACTTTGTCATGTCCTCCTCTGGTGATTTCCCTGGATACGCCGCCGCTTATAGTACAACTACTATGGCCGGTCCGGTGGGCTTCGCCTGGTGTTGGGAACCGACCGCAACGGCCCATAATTATAGGAGACTGTAACGCTTATCACACACAGCGGAGTTTCATTTAGCGTGGAGGCTACTTGCGCTTGTCGGATGGCGCCCCAAATTTATCGTACGCACATTTGGAGATATGAACCAATTGTTTCCATAGCTGTGTGCTGTGTTTTCCTAAAGAAGTATCTGTCTCCCCACCCTGGTGTGTATACTGTCACTGCTCTCCACACTCCGCACACGTGCCCCAGACTCTGGCGACCGTCCTCACGGCGCGACGGAGCGGTTCCAGGTGCGCACCTGCGACGCGAGATCGTGCAGTGCAGGCAGGCGCCCTCGTGGACTGCGGGACTTCGGCGCGTGGCTGCCGAAGGCCTCTCGGTGCGTCAGCATCGCAGAACTGGGCGGTGTTGTGCGATCCAGGCTCCGGCCCGGACCTCTGATTAATCTCGCTGCTGTGTGGTGTGGTCTGTCCTGTAGCGGAGAAGCCTTGGGCGTTCCGAAAACGCCAGTGTATCGCTGGGTATCGTCGAGCTGCACGGAGTGGACACGGGAGCGTTCTGCGAGCAAAGTGGTCCCGACGTATTCAAGGTGACGCGCCTGGGGCAAGCCATTCAAAAATGTTGAGATGCCTTGCAGAGTGCAGCGGCACAGCCCTGTTCTGAAAGAGGGTCTCTGTGACCTATAAGGTAGCATATTGTTCCATTCTGAGCCAAAGCATAGAGGAACGCCATGCTCGTCTTCTATTCTGCTTTTTCGCTCTGTATATGACAGTGTTTTATTCCGGTTCCGCTTAAGTCTTATAAGACTCTGACGCGTCTGCCAATGTCTCCGGCTATCGCCGATATAAGCTTACTCACACCAGAAAATTGTTAGTTTTTTCAGTCCAAATTGCAGAATAATGAAATTAAAATAATGATTGGCAAAACTGTTTCGGCATGATGAATTAAAAGCCCTTACGCTGAGGTAGAAACCCTCAATACACCAGAATGCACTGGTAAACCGACGTTGTTGCGCTAAAAGCAACTATAGTGGCGTTTAGCCTGTTTTACCGGATCAGTTGCTTGACCTAGGATCTGTTTCTGATCAGAGCCGACGTCAGAAGTTGGATCTGACCATTCTCGCCCTTATCATTTAGCACTACAGCGTTTTTTAACCGGTACCCTCCTGGTATTCTGAAGGTCGTAAACTCAGCACGAGGACTTTGACTCATTATGCAAGAAAATAGGAACCGAGGACCTTTCTTTATTACATAAGAGCTTTTTTATGCGTCCAACGGCTCCCAATTCCCGACAGATCCCAAAAATGTGCTACATCTAATGAGCTCCGAAGGTATTTACCCGACTGCTTGTCGCTGGTTATATGGGGAATGGGAGCCATGCGGCATATAAGCCAAGCCATGAACTCATACGTTGCTGGTAAACAGATTGAAGGCCGGCCAACCGACCGGCGAAAGCTGGTTATCAAAGTCGTGGCTCACAGGATAAGCGTATTGAGACTCTGTGGGATGACGAGGCCGGTCGGGCCAGCAGTCGGCGCCCTTCCAGCTCCTGTCGCGACACGGCAGTCCATAATGGCCTCGATCTAGATGATCGGGCTAGTGGCTGAACAAACTCCAGCAGTCACTGCAAGGCTAAAAACATCAGCCAATGTTCAACGTAGCCGGTAATCCTCGCCCGTAAAGTACACTTACAGTTTTAAGTTGCTGTAGAGAACCTCCGAGTCGGTTTCGTCGAGATACGTAGCGGTTTTCCTGTTTGCAAAACGGCGCATGACGACAGGAGCTTCCCAGTCCGGAGAAAAGGCTCCCAGAGCCGCCAGAAGGCTGGAAGACAGCGCGCTAGAAAGAGCGCTCATGGGCTCGTGTGTTCACGGTGCGAGAGTCTCGTCCAGATCGTCTCCAAACCGCGTCAGTCGTCTCCAGTGAACGCATAAAATAAATGATGTTTTTTGAGCAATGAAGGCAGTTTAAATGCTACATCATGTCCCCACTGTCGGGCTAGGGAGAGAGAGAGAGAGAGAGAGAGAGAGAGAGAGAGAGAGAGAGAGAGAGAGAGAGAGAGAGATAGAGAGAGAGAAGAGAGAGAGAGAGAGAGGAGAGATAGAGAGATCGAGAGAGGTCTATCTCTCATATATATATATCTTCTTCCTTCATTATCTATCACTATTATGTATATATCATTCATTCTCTCTATACTATATCTATCTATTCTCTCTTTTATGTCTCTCTTATATCTACTATTATATATATCTATATATTCTCTGTTTATCATATATATATTGTTATATATATATATATATATATATTTGTTGGAAACATTCGGTATCGCCAAACGTGGGAAAACGGGACAAAGATGAGGCAAGGATTGTTTTTGTGCCTATCCTGCAACCAAGCAGCCATTGAAGCTGCTATGAGGTAGTGGGTGGTAGATAAGGTAAGTATCGCGAGGAGTACTTAAAATAGGAAGAAAAGGGTTTCAGTTCCCGGATTTTCGGCATTTTTAATTCAGAGAACTTATGATCAGCTATTGATCTCCTGTATCCCATGAAATACCGGTTGCATAACGCCATAAAGCCAGCATTTCTTACATTGACAGCAATCACCCAGGCAACCACTCCGGCACCAGGCAGTCGAGACTGGACGCCGTTGATAAGAGTCCGTCTGCTGTTTCCCAGGTGTCATCTGCTGCGGTTCCTTGAACCCCTACCTCACGGCATATCGACGTCTCGACG